GCGCACGCAATCGGCCCATTCCCGCAAAAAACATAACTGAAAACGAAACCAAGAACAAGCCACCAAAAATTGAACAAGATCTGCCCTCTAATGATGTGCTGAAGTGGCTGGGCCCAGGAAAATTAATAGCCTACAAATGGAAAAACATTCGTAATTGGCCAGCAGTCCCGCAGGTGACCCACATTAAATGGCCAGCCTGGCAGAACCTCTCAGGATCTCAGGTGCAAATCTTGCACTGAAGATGTAACTAAGAAAGGTTAAAGTTAGACTTAGGTTCTTAGTTAGACTTCGCATTTAGTTAGTAGCAATCTCGATGATGAGGGGAAGATCTCTCTGCGAGGGAAACCCATCCATAATGGCCATCCTTAAACATGAACTAATGATGTGCTGAAGGAGAGAGAACAAATTAGCCTGCCAATTGGGAGGACATTCGTAATTGGTTCGGGGTCACAGAGGGTGACCCACATTATATTGGCAGACATGGGGCGACGCCTCCGCAATCGAAATAGCTCACTAATCCCGTGTACCGATCACAGCGTGCGACTCCCTGAACTCTGACCCTGATGGCCCACGCCCCCTACTAAAACTACCAAAACTAGACCATTCTCTACTTCATTTTCGGCCTTTTGCACGTGGCAACGTCCGCCATATTCATCTTACATTTTACGTGCCCAAACCAGTTTCCTGCATGCAAATAATATAAGTTACTGTGTCAGCAGCAAGAGCCAACAGGTGAAATTGTCGCCCCAAGTCCACGCTTTTGGATCCCCATCCCCATTCCCATCCACATTACCATTCCCATTCCCATTCCCATCTACATCCCCATCCCCCATCCCCATCCCCATCCCGATCGCCGGCCAAGTCAATGTCAAGTGTTGCCCCGGCTGACTTACTACAAAAGTTAATTGCACTGCACGCGCACGCCAAAAGGTAAAACGAGTCGCGGGTCTCGGGTCTTGGGTCTCGAGCCTCGACGACAGGCTCCCGATGGCCAGTGCACCGCCAGTAACCAGTGCCCCATACCCAGTATGCAGCGCTGATCTGCGAGACCTCAAGACCTCAACTTAACGCTCGGGCCATGAGGCGCGTGTGTGCAATATCAGGTTTCCCTGTCAACTTGCACAGTGCCTCGAGGGTATCGGAAAAGGAAATTCACTCCAACATCAGATGGGAAATATGAGAAATCAATGAACTTCATGAATATTGTTTTGGAATAACTAGTAAGTAGCCTAGCAGAAGTTGAAGTCCAACTTTTATGCCAAGTTTCTTGGCTTTCGTACCACTGTGCGGGGGCACCGGACTGCCACCGTGGTCGTCATTAGTTCGCTGCACTTGCTGTTGTAATTGTGACAGGAGCAACGAGCACGGATCGCTAAAGGGTCGATCTCCAGTCGGCGATGCACTTGGTCACCGCTTGGGTGCTGCTGCGGGGGAAGGGCTTTCAGCTCACGGTTTTCGGTTTTAGGGGGGCTTCACTGTCGACTGTCCACTGTCCACTGCCGACTGTCGACTGTCGGGTTTTGTGCTGATCGTGAGTGCCAGAAGCCGATTTCAGCGCGGCTACCGATAAGCAACCGCTTCCAGCCTGCCCCTCATGCCACCACCTCCTCCTCCTCCTCCTCCTCCTCCTCCTTGCGGCTTTGACAGACGCGTTGATTGGTTTTGTTGGGCGGCACACGGAGAATGTGGAGTGCTCTTGATTCCATGAGACATGTAAATTGCTGAGAGCTCTGCTGAGCTCTGTCGGGAAATACAGAAACTGGTACAATTTTTGTTGGCCACTTTTTCGGCAGCCCTTGTTGTTGTTGATTATATTTTGTTGATAGTCATGCTCTGCCACGCCCCTTGCCTCCTGTATTTGACAACTTTTTGCATAATTGCAATCGCCAGCAGATGAAAGGCGAAGAAGAAGAGCGCGTACACGCGAAGAAATCGGAAAGCTATCATATTATTTGAGATGTTTTCATCAACACTTTGGGATGTCTTGGTATCAGATCTCTAGGAATCCCTTCTGACCTGAATGATCTGCGATTAAGACGAAGACATTTCTCTCAGTGTCTTGTCGCTTGATGGTCGAGGCCAAAACAGTGACCAGACCATTCATAAATTTCGAGCCAACTCATAAATACGGCAGCAGAGGCTATCGAGGTGTTGGCCTTACAATCTCACGCCGCGATGATGCCCGAAACCGAAAAGCCCATTCCCCCTCGACATCTTGCCATTGATTTAATGCAATGCCAAAACAAATTGTTATGTTGGCCCAGCTTGCCGCCCGCAATTAATCAAAGTTCTCGCATTACAATTAATCAAAAATCACCATCCTTGTTCGTTGGATTTCTCAAGGAGGAGCTGATGCTGCTGCTCCTGCTCTGGCTGCTCCTGGTCTGGCCTTTTGCTCCTCCTGGTCATAAATATCTCGGGCCAGTTGGCGATACAAGGCATTGGCCAAATAGAATCGGCGGCGTCAAATCGCTCACCTTAGATGTCGCACCGATTCGTTGAAACATTCCCATTGCTTTCATAAATCATATATATATGTATAAAAATATATATCTCAAGTGGGAGTAAGGAGGGGCAGCAGAATCGGAAATCGAAATCGAAATCAAGAGCGGCTTTCGCCCTTTCATCGGCTGGGCCAGCGCTGATCAGGCGGCAATTTGATGGCCATGAACAGTTGACAGTTGACTTTTGATTTGATCAGCCACTGAAATACGATCACTGATACCTAGGCTTAGCTTAAGACTGTCTAAGCCTTCGGTTAAACTTGGAGAAGAACTCAAGGATTCGATATCTCAACCTGCTATATGGTATTATCAATATCTGGTAAACTAAACCAACTTTCCTAGATCAATGATCTTCTTTCTTAATATAGCAGATAATCAGAGCAGAGTTTAGTTTAGGATCCCATCCATATTGGTAGAAACCAACAACGACCATAACCTGACCTTGTACTGTTAAGACCTACGGTAGCTGCTGTCCCTTAAACGAGGCTCTACTGTGCCAAAAGGGTGCCGCTGCAGAGAAGTGTGGAAAAAATGATGCGATGTCAAGTTATTGACAGGCCGAGTCGATATTAATGACGACTTCATCTTCATTCGCTGGATATGCCATATATGCAGAGACCCCTTACCCTTTACCCCCTTCGACTTATCCCCGCGGGTTTTCCGTTTCGTTCGTTTTGCTGTCCCCGTGTCTTACTAGCAATTATTGAACTAGTTAGTCGGCCCCAAGTCAGAGAAGCCGACCAGACCATCGCATCGCCGATTCATTTTGGGTTCAATTATGGTCGTAAGCAAAGCAGCGAGCCAGCAAGCCAGCGAGGAAGCCGACAACCGACAGCCGACAGCCGACGGCCGAAAGCAAAAGGCAAAACCCATACATACGTATTTAAGCCAACATGTCAACATAATTTATATTAAATTTTTGTGTCAGATAATGATAGCGCCTCATGCTGCCGATCGCCAACCGATCCGCCGATCCACCGATCCTCGCACAAAATATATCTCCATGGAGCTAGCTGCAGGCCGAATGGAAAATGAAACGGGCCAAGAAAAAGCAAGCAAGGCTCTTCAGGAGCTGATCTTTACAGAGGATCCTTAAATAGTTTCCAATCCTTAAGCATGCTGCGGCAGTGGCTCTGCTAAAAACATGGAAAAGCCCGAGACAATATCAAAACCATGACCGAATCTACCCTAAATTCTATTGCATAAACACGAATTTTGCATGACCGACCGGATATGATCGATTCTTTCGACCGGTCGGTCTCTGGCCATCTGGTTGACAATCGGGGATGCCCAGTGACCTGTGCTCAGATGTCCTCGAATGTCCTCAGATGTCCTTTCCCTACGCAATGCCACGCCGTGTCCCCCGCAGCTCCGGCAACGAAGTGTTAAACGAGGCCCAGCGTGCGACAATGCCAATTCAAATCCATTTCGGCTCGGTTTCCTAGCGTGCAACCAGAATCCTCCAGCGGCGATCGCCGGACAATGGTTTCTGGGCATAATGGAAGCCTCCTGGCCGCCTAAATGCTTTCGAAATGCTTTCGACTTTCGGCCAAGAGGAATTCCAACAGCTACGACGGGCATAAAGGACCACGGGGCATTAGGAGTGTTAATAGAAAAGTGCCTCCGGCTGATCAGGTTGCCTTGCTGGATCTCCAACCTCGAATGGATCACCGTTTGAGGTGTTGACGAGGCGGCCTTGGACCCTTGGAGGGTCATATAACTTTGGATTTGGACAGCAGCCCAAGGTCTTGGTTTCAATGACTGCCAAATGGCTGTCAACTGAGTCGATCAGAAGGTCAACTTTGAGGACAAAGACGATGAAATGTCGTCGTTTGAAGGTTTTCTTCTGTAATCCTTAAGAAGTAGTTCTTACTTCTAATTGGTATGGTAAAGTATAGCCGCTGTTCCTACATAAAATCAATCACAAACTTAATGTGAGCTTAGCATTTGATTCCTTAAGACTGACTTCTGATTTATTGAGGCCCAACTATTAGAGTCGTAAAAGCTGGCTGGCCAATTTCATTAGGAGAAGCCGGAGCGCCTTTGCTTGAAAGGGGTTGCTGCTGCGGTCTGGGGTCTGAAGTCTGGGGTCTGGGGCCTAAAGTCTGAACCTTTTTGCTTTTTGAAACCGGTTGGCAGCCGGCACGCGACAGAGCCAGGTTTAAGTTTTGGTTTGCAGACATTGGGCAGCTGAAAAGATGGGGCGAAACCACTCAGGAGAAACGAGAAACTCTTCCCACTCGAAACGGGGAACACTCAAGCCAGAGGCAGCTGCAAATCGCAGAGTCTCACTCTCTCGCTCTGAGAGAGGCCTCTCTAGAAAAATCTGAGAAACCACTCCGCTCACGAGACTCAAGCGATCCTTGAGTGATGATGCTGTTGTTGCACCTTTTCGTGCAGGGGCAGGTAGATAGCCGCGTGCGAGATCCCTAGGCCCTGGGACCCCTATAAATAGCCCGAACGGAACAGGGAAGGGCATCAGAACGGAGCCAGCGCTCAAGCAAAGACCATCTTAGTCATTAAACATTAACATCAACATATCCTCAAAAGTCAAAACTGAAAATGGCTTTGGGCAGCGAGAATCAGTCTTTCTTCTACGACGACGAGGAGTCCTCCTCCCCGGTCAATGGACCCTCTGTCATCCGGCGGAATGCCCGGGAACGCAACCGCGTCAAGCAGGTCAACAACGGCTTCAGCCAGCTGAGGCAACACATTCCCGTGGCCGTAATTGCCGATCTGAGCAACGGTCGCCGTGGAATCGGTCCCGGCGCCAATAAAAAACTCAGCAAAGTCAGCACCCTGAAGATGGCCGTTGAGTACATTCGACGCCTGCAGAAAGTCATTGATGAAAACGACCAGCAGAAGCACCAGCAGCAGCAGCAGCAGCAACAGTTGCAGTTGCAGCAGCAGCAGCATCTGCACTTCCAGCAGCAGCAACAGCAACAGCAGCAACAGCAACACTTCTACGCCTGGCAGCAGCAATTGCAGTTGCAATCGCCCACTGGCAGCGTCAGTTCCTGCAGCAGCAGCAGCTCCTACTACACACCAGCAGCATCATCGGCCACCACTTCTTCCTCCAACATCGCTGCCAAGCTGGAAACAAGCTACGAAGATTACCGCAACAACTCGTGCAGCTCTGGTGCCGAAGACGAGGACATCCTCGACTACATCTCCCTCTGGCAGGACGACCTGTAGGGCTCTCCCTGCACCGCCCGCAATCGCTAGTCGCCCTCAAGCATCGCCCACAACAACCATTGATTGGCCAACAAGTATTACCTCAGCCACAGAGTATTTATATTGCCCAAAACCCACCTTTTTTTTTTGCCTGTACAAATTAGCGGTTAAGTTTTTATATAGTTTATAAGGCTAGCTCGTAAATGGAAGACAATCTAGGCTTAAGTACATTTTTTTGAACCAACATGGAGGACATTAAACTGATAACTATAATGAAATCTCGAATGTGTTTGCGTATCTAGAAATTTGGACTGGGAAATAGACATTGGAAGTGTAAATCTTGAGCATGATCTTGGCACGAAGACTCTTTCTGCCTTGTTTTTCAAGATCTCCCCCCCTTTTCCTCAACCAGCAACAGTAACTTTACAGTTACTCTCAAGTATCTGCCAGATCAGCGATTGCCGAACCACAAATTATCCTAACAATTTGTCAGGACTTTCGGTTTGAGCAAGCCACTTTGCATAAATAAAGTTGGTTAACCATTGGGGTTGCATTTTTGCATATGGCCAAGTTAATCAGAGGCCGAGTGCCGACAATTCCCAAGCGATCGATCGATCGATTGTTGAACTAATTTTGAGTTATTCCAGCAATGCTGGCGAAACAAGAGGAAAACACAGGTCGGCAATTGCTCAGATCGCCCCCGACAAAGTCAGGAGCAGTCAAGGAATCCGCTGGGGTCTTTCGCAACGGAAGCTGTCGCGATGAAGTGGCCGCAGTTGCAGATAAAATAAGCGACTATATATGCCGAACGACATTGAACTTGTCCATGGGATTCAGCTACTCTCCTGCATCCCACGCGCACTTCCTGTCCTGCGCACTGAACCTCATTACTAGACCAATGAAAATAGGGGGGGAGCTACGCACTTCCGTCACTCGACGGCAGCTTTTGGCTGTGCAAATCACTAACAGCAGCGAAAGGTGACCGCCATAAATGATCTCCTCTTTTCGGGCCAGATTCCATGCCAATCGATTCGATATGCGGTGCAAGGAAGACCGCTGAACTCCAACAAGCAGTGCCGAGTGCACAGCAAGAAATCATCCATTCTGGATGGCATCCTCTTTGCTGATTTCCTTGCCAGCTAACTGAGATTTTCTCACTGTGCCTGTTTGGGGGCAGCGTTGGAGGAGCCCAGAATCGAACGGTTCTGGGGCCCACAGGTCTCTTCATGGCGCATTTATCGAATTATTATTTCCGGCGCTTTTCCTGTTTTTGCATTGCATAAATGTGAAACGGTTTTGGTAATAAAAACAAAAGCCAAAAGGGCCAAAGGGCCAAAGGAGAAGCCTCGAAGCGAGGGAGAGGGAGAGGGAGAGGGAGAAGAGGGAGGGTTCCTCCGGGTCCTCCTCCATTGGCGGTCTCAATGGGCGACAGGCGACATACGACATACGACACAATGTCTCGGCGACAGCAAACGGTGCAAAATCGAACGCTTTTTGTGTGAAGTTAATAATACGTTTGACATGGCCCCGAAAAGGGGATCGATCCCAGAAATATATGCAGAAATATGTAGCAGATCGTTCCAGATCGCCCCGGGGCCGCTTGCAAACCCCTTTGGGGCATTGGCCGTACATGAAGAGCCCTTTGGGAGGAGAGAGAGTATGCTGCCTATGTAGAAAGATCTGCAGAAATTCAAGAATTAAAGATAAGTTAATAGAATTTCTTCATATTAGAGAAATATCCTAAAGTTTTGATACTTTTTAAAGATTTTTTAACCTACTCTTTGACCTTTTCGAACAACTTTCTGAGAGAAAGCTTTAGCTAGAGAGTATCTGCTAGTCGAACTGCCTTGACTAAGCTCGTCCTTTATGGATTTTGTTTATTTTTTTATGCCCGATGCAGGGCACTCTTTACATGCAACGCTGGGCGAATAAATTTATGATTTATTAAGGATGCTCTGATTACAACACATGGACCATGGGACTCAGCCCCAGCCTGGACCAGCCTGCCTTAGCCTGGCCCAGACACCGTCTGATGCTGACTGATGTCTCGTAAATAACTTCCAGGGAGCAACAAGTGAGTTATTTGTTTAACATGAACGCGACTTTTTGACTCACAAATGTTGACAAAGAATAATGTAATTTATGTTCGGCCGTGACATCCTTCCAAGATTTCTCCGCAGCGAGAAAAGGGGCAGAGCCGCGCCCTCTAGAGAACTCACCGCATTGCAATTACAGATATTCGCACTGATATGTCCTGTATATCTATATATTAGTAGGTCTTAAGCCAGAAGATAAGAGGCAAAACGCCGACCGAATTGTCCTCGTAATTGTGATGTTATGTAACTTCTTGCGAAAAACAAGTGCAGCGCCGACGGGGAAGACAATAAAGGACCAGAACTCCCTCCCTCCTCCTCCATTTGCCACACACAAAAGGTGCACTTGTCATTGTTACAGTTTTCCCGTTTTCCCTCGTTCTTTCCCATATTCCCTGCCCTGCCCTGCCCTGGCAATTAAAAACGCCCACCAAACTAGAATCCTATTGCGTGCCTCCGCTCTGAAGGATCAGAATTGGAACTCTGAAGTTTTCATTAGTTAAGCTGATTACTCTTGACAATGCACCTGAAATGATAATGATGCGTTCTGGTCCTTCGCTGCACGTAACTCACAATGGGAATCGATTCGAGGGGATTACTCCTGCGAGGGTCCCCCGTCATTTGATGGTTATTAAAAATTACTTAAAAAAGATCAAAAATGCAATCATAAGAGATTATGTTCTGGCATAGGAAGGAATCATAGTTAGAAAGTACTTTTACTTCTCGAAGAAGGGGAATATCTCTAGAGGGGAGCCTTGTCTTTGTTTATCCTCTCCTTTGGCCTTAACCTAAACTTTGGTAATGCCTTAATTACCTCGCCCAAATGTCTCAATTCAGCGGCGGGGCTTTCACTTTGCCAAATTATTTAAATTAATTATCTCAAGAGCGGCGTCCGGCGATCTTCAAAAGCGTTCTTCCTGCTCTTAATTATAGACTCGTGCGGGGAGCGCCTTTCTTTAATTGCCGAAAAGCAAACAAAACACGAGAATCGGGGGCACTTGGGGATGGAGAAACTTTCACTAAGAGATGCACAAACTAAGGCTTAGAGACAGTAGATGGCTCAGAACTAAACTCCTTCTCGCATTTTGATTTGATTAGCCATCTCAAGTTCTTGTCTTTCATAATTCCCAGAAGTCCCCAGGCTGGGCAGGCCATCAGAGCCACTTTTATAATGAAATTTACGACATTTAATTGGATCCGAAAAGAGCTGAGAACTGAAAGCTGAAAGCTGAGAACATATTCAATTGCTGGCGGGGCATTCCGGGATCAGCGAGCTCGCCAGGATCAGCGGGACTAGACCAGGTCGCGTGGCAAAAGACGAGACTTTTAAATATTTAAAAGCATTCGAGAGTTCGGTGGCCATTCACACTGCGTGACCGGGCTAATTACTCGCCCTGCACTCTCTTTCGGTGTTTCCCCAAGCCTTACAGTGCTGGCTGGCTAGATGGCACCGCCTTAAGGAAAGAAATAAAAGCTAGCCATATCAGAGATATATTCCAAGATGTCTCTTGGCATCGAAAATACCTGCTATTCTCGCCGCAACTGTATGGACTTGTGAGATCGCGCCCCGTCGAAACTCACTTTTGATTTCATATGCATTTCATCAAATTGCCGCTGCGCACGCGCATGCCACAAGGCAGCGACTCGAAGGTGGAGATAAGAGACCTTGGTTTGATTTGAAAATTACTCGAAAAAAACTAAAAAAAAAAAAAAACAAAAGCAGCCACGTAAAAAAATACAACAAAAAATATGGCATAAACTGAAAAACTGCAAAACTGAAAAACTGAAAAACAGAAAAACAGCAAAAACGGGTTGCAGCCGATGCCAATTAAATGTGGTCCAGTCCACATCGTCCGACGGCATCCCCTCCTGCCCACCCAGCCCGATCATTCCCGATGCTCGGCTTCGTTGTCATTGCCGCCGCGGTTTACTTCAAATGGGAGACGCGCGCGTCCAGCGCCAAAATGGCAATCTTTTTGAAATTTATGATGAAAAAATGAACACTGTCGCTTTTTTGAACATTTTAATTATACACACAGACAGCGCGCGCGGGGATATACTTTTTGGATGTGGCAGTGGCTGTAGGACTGTGGCTGTGGCTGTGGCTGTGGCAGAAGATTTTCGGGAGATACCACTGCGATCAGCGGCGCCCCGTCCCAACCGGTAGCTAAATCCACTCGCAGAAAAGGTTTTTGTTGACTTGAAAGGTCTTCCCAAAGGTAGTAGAGCGGGGACAAACATTTTCTTGCAGTGCAGCATAGGACACACCGACTACACCCGACTACATCCCAAGTGGTTGCAGGCATTTGGCGAGTAATTAATAAATTCGCAACGCTGCCACAGGATATTTGCATAAGAAATTATGGCAATGAAATGTTATGACCGCGCCCGTGACAGACGACTGGCCTGGGCTGAAAACTGAAAACTGAAAACTGAAAACTCCTCGGCCAAGGTCACAGAGCAAAGCGGCCACTTTGAAGCTCCTTCCGTTGAAGAGATGGTGGCGGTGCTCCATTGCATAAGCCTGGCAGCTCGCCTCCAGCTGCGAGACAGCTAGTCTATCTGGGCAACATTGGGTGACAGATATGCATATGATTTTGGGATGGCCTAGACTGGCCTGGACTGGCCTGGACTGGCCTAGACTGGACAATTGTCCTGGACGCAGCGTGCGGTGAATGTCCGAGAAACCGATTGGCATGGAAAACCAAACAAAACAAACACACATCCCTTTTTTGCACGTGGCCGAAGGATAAGGGCAGGAAACAGAGACCCATTGCCATTGTCAGGGCAACAATGATAATGAAAAGTAGTCAACGCAAATTACATAAGGCTCTGTCCGCTTTGAAAGGGACGTGGCGTAAGGCGTTTGTAAGCCTCTTCAGAGGTTGCGCCCTAAGGAACTGCCTTTCTAATTGACCCGGAGGCCAGGGATTTCCTCCTTCCTCCGTTAGGCCCGACGACGACACGCGGCAGGAGCAGAAGCCACAGCCTTCGGCACTTTCAAGTTGGACAGACAGCGCCTTCGGGGGAAGTCAGTGGGTAGCCCCTCAATTGAATGCCCATTATGAGGAACAATCCAGCTTCTTCCCTTAAAGAGCTTCAAAGGCCGATCCCGAATGTAGAAGCGCCAAGTGGCCTTCTCCTAGGGAAATGCCTTTGAACTACTTTCCTTCTAAAATATTTCCGCTAATC